GTCAAAAAGTTCTTGGTGATTGTCTCGAGTGGATGCTCAAGTGGGGGTGCACCGGAGCCGGTAACGGTTGGATGTATCGTAGAAGTTCATGGTTTTATCGTCGATGCTCGTCAAAGCAGTGGTTGGTAATGGCATAGAAAAGAGTCAAGGGTTGTTAAGATTTTGGTTCATCATACGGTTTGGTTTTGGTTTAATTTCGCGATCGGTGTGTTTCGAGGATCATTCTGCATGGTTCTGGTGGTGCCCCATTCAGGGACTGGGGGTAGATTCAAATGGATATTTATCAATTTTAGGGAAGGTTCCGTGAGGAGGCATCATGGGTAGCCATTTTCGAGCAGGCTATTGGTGGAAACTCATGTAGGGAATCGCGAGTGGGTCCGTGAAAAGTTTGTATCCCAAACGGAGGGGGGGGGGGTTAAGGAATCGGTATGTCAAAGGTATCAGTTGGAGGGTCAGGACTTAGTTCATGTGTTTGTGCTCTAGGATGGTTCTACCGGTATGAAGGTCAGACTGGTCCTGGGTTTTCAAATTATAGCAGTCGTGTATCGTTCCGACAGTTAAGGAAATCCATGTTTTGTATCTCATTATGCTTATGGAATTGGTAGCATCAAAGGTTGAATAGATTGTTCGATGGATAAGTGTCATGGTTTTAGCAAATGGTTCAGTTTGGGAGGTCTATCAGGGAGTTTGACCAATTCGATACCCAAGTTCGGATATATAAGGTTGGGTCTTTGCATGGGATTATGGGTTGTTCTTCTTCAGGTTGGCAGTTTCTGTTTGGGTTTGATTGTTTTGGGAAGGTCTTTTTATGTGTAGAATTTGTGGTTGCGTTCCTCGGGATGTTAATATGATCTGAGTGTTATAAAGGAACAATTTCGAGGACAAAATCTAATTTAAGTGGGGGAGAGTTGTAACATCCTGACTTCCAGGTATAAGAGTTACCTTTTGTATGATTTTCCAGTCGAACTACGCGAGTTGGGTAGCCTCAACTCGGCGTGTTGAAGAATGTTTTGGCCATGGGATTTAATGAAGCAACTCGGCGAGTTGAGGAGCCTCAACTCGGCGAGTTGACAGCTGGGAAGGAAACCCTAATTTTTAGGGTGTTGCACCCTATTTAAAGGCCTTAAGTCCCTTGATTAGCCTCCTTACCAGCCTCCTCTATCCATAAACCCTAAATTCGAGTATCATCTTCCATAGTTGATTGTGTGAGCTTGTGGAGAGCTTTGAGTGTTGATTTTTGGTACTCTTTTGAAGGAGCCTTGAAGTGAAGTTGTCTAGCTTGGTGGAAATGCTTTAGATCCAGAACTTTCCCACTTATTGCAGTCTATTTGAGGTATAAAGTTTGTACCTTGCTTCTTCATTGATTAGATCTCTTCTTTTGGGGTTTTATCTAGATTATTGGCTTGTTTGATGGATTGTCCAAGGATTTTGAGTGTTTCATGGGTTGTCATTTTAGATCTGGCCATGTTGTGGCCTCATTTGGCTTAAAATTGCAAGGTTTAGGAGAATTGTGGTGCATGCATGCATTAAGTCAATTCTCAAGTCCATTTTAAGCTTAAGAGCTTCATTTAGACATGCATGAACGTAAAGTTAGCAACTTTACGTGGTTTTCCAGCTCAAGGAAGCCATATCTAGTTTTGGAGTCATGTCCTTATGGATTAAGTGCTTATTGTATTAAGTTTTTGGGTTTTGAGCGGACTCAGCGAGTTTATTGATAAACTCGGCGAGTTAGATCGGTTTTTCCCGACTTTGCAGTTAAATGGAAAAACACGGCGAGTTGAAGGAACAACTCGGCGAGTTGGATCAACTCGGGCAGTTGACCTTGACTTTTTGACTTTTGTCTTTGAGCAAGATGTCCTACGGAGGTACTTGAGATAACCTAAATTGTAATAAAGGAAATTATGGGCTTAGGATAAGACTCATATGAGGTTGGACCCAATTTGGAAAATTGGGCGTATAGTGGGCCTTTGTGGATCTTTTGGTTTTTGACCTTTTGGTTAATGGAATTGGGCTTCAGTTTTGGTTCATGTTGGGTCAGGGGTAAAATGGTCATTTTACCCCAAGTATGGATGGTGGGCCTTAGAAGGAAACCCAATTGCTAATTGGGTGTTACTTTGATCTGATAGATCGGAGGTGTCGTCGGGGCAATAGCTAATGATTCTTGCAGTGAACTTCAGTATTCGAGGTGAGTTTTCCTCACTGTACTTTCGGGTCGAAGGCACCAAGGCCGGCCCTTTGGTTTGATAACCTAATATTGTTTATATGCCGAGTACGGAATATATATATATATATATATATATATATATATATATATATATATATATATATATATATATGCATGCTAGTCTTGTTATGATGGTCTTGATATGCTAGCATGGTAGATCTGTAGGACTACCTATGATACTGTCTGTTTATCTGTATATGATATTATCTGTTATATGTCGACATATTGTGTGGGTTGGGTTGAGGTTGTACTGCTTTGTGCGGTAGCCAACAAACGCTGGAATATGCCAGATATGAGCTGAGGGTCAGGGAGGGCATGCCAGACTCATACTGAGGAGTAATTAGCATTCCAGATATGAGCTGAGGGCCAGGTAAGGCAAACCAGACTCATACTGAGGGCTCAGTGGCATTCCAGATACGAGCTGAGGACCGAGTGGTATGCCAGACTCGTACTGAGGGCTACTCATTGGTATTCCAGTCCAAGGACTGGGGGAGCAAGCCAGACATAAGCTGTGGACCCAAGGACAAGCCAGACTTATGTTGTGGGCTCGAGAGCAAGCCATATATGAGCTGTGGGCCTGATAGGCAAGCCAGACTTATACTGTGGGCTCAAGGGGTAATCCAGTCTTTTAGATGTGGACCCAATACATGATGTTGTTTGTATATGTTATTTGTTTGGGTGTTAGTACTTTGGGGGAACTCACTAAGCTTCGTGCTTACAGTTTTTGGTTTATGGTTTCAGGTACTTCAGTGGATCGTGTCAAGGTGAAGGCATGACCGTACACATCCTCACGTTTTGACTTATGAAATCTGGGAAACTCTGATAATGTGAATATTTTGAAAAACTATGTTGAAAGCGATTCTGATTTTTAAATAATGTTTTGGGAACAATAGTTTTTGTAAACACTTCTTTAGAAAAAAGGTTGTTTTGAAAAGTTTAAATTTTATGAATTTTTATGGATGTTACATACAATTTATTTGAACTTTATTATTCATTTGTTTATAATTTTGAAGTTCATCCACGAATTCAGATTTAGTATGACTAGGTAAACTAGTTTCACTACTTTATTCGTCTTGATAAAGTGGTTTTGGAATAGAATTAAGACAATCAACAGTTTTTAATTTTAAAGACTTTGATTTTGAAAACAAAGGTTTTGAAGTGCCAAGTTTTGGAATCGAACTCGTTGGAAATCGTGATGATAAAAAAATTATAGAAGAATATTTTACATCAACTGATTTATCACTATGTTTAATTATGTTAGAAATTTGCTTAGAAGAATCTAAAGCTTTTCGCTCAATAGCGTTTTGCAAATTATAATTACATGATTGAGTAATTTCTAACCATTTAAGCTTTCTATGCATATGGACCTTAGTATGATTTGTATTTGCTTCAAAAATAATCGTTTCATTTCTTGGACTTGATAAACGACTTCTTGGTTTTAAAGTGGTTGTCATAGTCTTATAACAAACACGATAAATTATTTGTTAAAGGTTTTGGTATTAGCTATAAATTCTAAATTTTTAGTTTCTACCATTAAAACTAAAATATTTAATATACTTTTATCAAATAATTCTACAGAAAAATTTGGATAACAATTGAAATATATTGGTCTATTTGCAATATTCGTTTCTGCCATAACTAATATGGAATTTCGAAAATCTTCATGTCTTTTATCTCTGAAAACTAGGAGGAAAGTAGCACCAATACCAATTCTAAATAAAGGTTTAATAGCAATTTGTACTAAATCGATATGAAGAAATTTATATTTTTGTCTATGTTCTAAAATAGATCTTAACGATAACAAATTTAATTTTTGTTGATTTTGACCGATAAGCAGAGTTTTTTCTGTCATTTTGATTGAGTAACTTTGAAAATAATCAAAAGTTCCTCTTTTATATATTGTATCTATATTTGATTTTGTTATTGTCCAAATATTTAAACTTTGTTCTATGTCATCAATAGTTTCTTCCATAGAATTTATTTGATTATTATCATACTTTTGTTCTTCATTGATATTTTTACCAGAAATATATTTTTTGGATAGTAAGCGTCAAAACTTGCTCACATTTAATTAATTTTATTTTAATAATTTACACGAAAACTTACTTGTTTTAATAATGATGAGCATACGGGAATCGTCCCAACGATGATTGTGGTCCAGCACCGCGACATACATTCTTATCTGCGTATCTTACGCTAATCCAACCAACCAATCGTATTAAAGTGTGTCAACATTTTTCCTCTTATAAATTTGTGTATATCCGTGTAAGGAGGGAGGGAGGGAGGAAGAGAGAGAAAAGGAGGTGGGGTGTTTAAGTTCAAATAAGATCACTTTGTTCTTGTGTTGCACAAATCACATTTCCTACCTCATATTTCAAGGATTAAAAACGAAACAAATAAACTTTCCATTCCTTATGTTTTTTTTTTCTTTTTCTTCGAACCGTTAGTTAATAGTTAGAAGTTAGTATCATCAAGTTAGTAAAATTCATCAACGCCCAGATAAATACTCGGATATCCAATCGAAGTAACAAAACCTCTACCAAATGGGCATACCACAAATCCCCTTTCTTATATAATAATTTATTTTTACCATAATTCATTTCGTCTTTTTATGTCATAACAACGTTGACCTTATCTTTTGTAACCACACAGATTTGTAGGTTTATGACTAGATGTTTCCTTTCCCATATTCGATATACAATTAAATTTCTTTTGTGGCTCTTTTCTGTTGGTCATCTTTTTAGTAAAAATGTTATTGTCAAATTTAGAAATATTTGAGCTTCATTTCCAAAACCTAGTCATCATGTCATATACAAAAGAAATCATCTTTACATCATATTTTGACTTTCATCATTGCATTATTAGCCAAACCAATAGAGGTACAACCTCTTATACAGAGGCAATGAATGTCAATATCATAGATATTAACCCCAAGCTTCACCAGTGTCCCTAGCATCATCAACGATCATGGTTCCAGTTTCTTAATTAGAAGACTTACTCAACTGAAACACAGTGTATCTACATAACTTCCTCACTCCTTTTTTCAAACTTAGCCTTTCTAATATCCCTTCTATCTCTACCTCTCTCTCCTGTTGTTGTTCATGTTTTGATTTGTGATTACTCTTTAAAGGACCATTTGTACATGTAATAGATAAGCTCTTCTCCAACATGGAATCATATTCAACAACAGACCCACTCTTTCTTGGAAAGCTCCAATATTGTTCTTCGCTTTCACTTCCTAGTCTATTCAAAGTGGCTGTTCTGAGAGAGTATGAAGACTCGACGTTATTGTTGGGAGGTGGACAATCTGCACATGAATCTACTGGCTCAAAACCAGTGGATGATTCCTCTCTTTCATGAAGAGTTTTCATGATTAGTGTTTTGAGCAAGTTCATGATTTGAACAGCATGAATCAATGCAGTCAAAGGATCCGCCATCTACAGGAATACCACAAAAAATGTGAATGCCCATGTCAAATTTATATATATCACATGTCCTTCATTAACCACTAAAAGGCTGAAACGATAAATAGTCTTCCATTTTTTAGGATGAATTTGTTGAAAGTATGTAATAAATTTAAGATTCTTTATTGAGATCCAAAGTTTGAAGTTTAAAAATCAGAAACTCGATCGCATGTAAAAACTGTGAAAGGCTGAAACGGGTATGATGATAATATACCTGAGTCATGTTTGGGGCAAACACCATAGCAATGTTTCGGGCATTCATCTTGTTTTCTTTGTCAAACATCACAACATCTGCCATTAAATTGATAGCCCAGTCAAGAAGTGCAGCCTCAGTTGGAGGGAGGGATTCAGCAAGCTTCGTACACTCCTCTTCTGTATTGCAATGCATTACCTGCTGTGGGGTCAAAGTATCAAGAACACCCGTAGGAAGCTCTCTAAACCAGGCCTGAATGCCAATAAATAGATCGATCCTTAATTATGATTGTTTTCATAAGTAGCTAAACCGATATAATAAATGGTGGAAGGTTTACCTTGATCAAACCAGCCAAACAATGGACATCCACTCCATGAGGCACAAACCCTCTATTAAGCTGCTTCCTAACATCCTCTTCTTGACCATTTTCCCCATTTATCCGAAATATTCCTTCTGCCTTCATCATTATAACATGTCAAAAATAATGGTTGCATATTTGATGATTAAACTACAAAAATAAACGCATGGTTTTTGCTTACTTGAAGGCCACCTGCTGAATATAAACGATTTTGCATCATTAGAAGTATTGTTGGCACGCTGTTCCCTCTCCCATCATAGGAACATTGCATAGACTCCACTGATACTCCAAACACGCACACACTGTTTAAATACATGATATGAAACGTATGTTGAGGCATCAAGTACGACAATTGCACTAAAAATACGTATAATATACACAAGATACAAGGACTTGAATATATCTGTATTATGTGTGTTAAAACTGGTGTATACATACGTAATTCCTCTGTTTTATATTTTGATTTTCACATACTTGAGTTGCTTATCTTCTCGTTCCTATCATTTCCCGTGTTTCTGATCATCTAGAAGCACATAATCCTTCTACTTAACTATTTTCCTTGGCAATTTTGTTGCATGATCATGTAGTACTCTTTGTTATATGTAGAAATCTGATAGTAATATCAAAGAGATTAATCTGTAATACTTCACGTCTAGTTGGATGTTTAAGTGAATAGTATAAATCCCTCCAATTATGTCCTTGTTAGGCATCTACAATGCATTGAATTTATTAGAGTTTAACGGATTGGCACTTCATCATTTTACTTTCTATATAACTTTACATTAATTTTCTTACAATGCATTGAATTTTACAAATTTCAATGAAATATATTTTGATAATTAGGTTTTCTTGTTCCCATTGAAGAATTCAATAACCATTGAACTCCATATCTATTGAATACCGACATGACATTCCATAATGGTAGAGTTTAATCCATTGAATACCAATTGGGGATGTCATCTCATCTCATTTACAATGGTAGAGTTTAATCCATATGCATTGTGGATGCTGTTATAACTAATGTAATTGTGTCTTGTGTGCATGGAATCACATGATGATTTGATATACTTTCAAGGAACTTCCCATTGAAGCAACCAATAAATCCCTAAAGCATGAAGATTTGCTTAAGACTAAATAATGATTTATATTTTCTTGATTTCCGTACTTAATTACTAATTAAAGATCTAAAAACCAAACAATAACATGTCTTTGGATCCAACTAGACCCACATGGATGAATGAAGTTCTCTTTACTCCCATAACATGTCTTTTGTTTTTTTTCGTTGATGAAAACAACCTTAGGGACAATGTGTCGTGCTCTTTTCTCATTACTAATTGCACCCTGTCCCTGCCCCATACCCGTGAAACTGAGTTGTACCGAAAAAAGAAAGACTCAAGCGGTACAAATGTACAATCATTATCTAGTCACGGAACACCGATTCAACATAACTTCAAGAAACTAAACAATAAATTCCCTCAACCACTCTCTTAACCTACTTCACATTTTTTCAGCAAACAATTAATTAGTCTTTTTGATAATGAACAAATGACAAACTAGAATCATGGGCTTCGTTTACAATTGCAATATCTAAATCCCAAAGCTTTTGGTAAATCTGGAACAACCTAAAACACGAATCATAGAGATGATTTTCTACTAAAAAAAAGTTATGGAAAGTTAATTAATACCTTGCACTTGGAACTTTGGCCGGAACTTCGGGTTGAAAAGCAAGAGGCAACCCGAGGAAGCCATTAAAACGATCAAAAGTGACATGTGAGACGTGCTGTACGTCGGTTGGACAGCCGATATCCAACGAGGAAGACACATCTTCAGGGTCGTGGACGGCGCAGGTGAGAAGAGACTTGCGTAGGGCAGCCAACAAGAGCGATGCGATGGTGAAGTTGTGATTGGATGATTGATCAGCGGGACCCTGTTGTCGTGGACTGATGAATGGTGTTCTAATTGGACTGTTATTAAAGTAGGAATAGTCTTGACAGTAATAAGAAATGTCGTCGTCGTCATCATCATCATCACCTTGTTGATAATTGGATGAAGAAGAGTAGTGGAAAAAGGAAGCTTTGGGTCGGGGGACTCCACCGCAGGATTTGGATCTGAAGAGGGTCGTCATCAAGAATTTCAACGAGCAAAACTAAAAGCAAAGACGAAAGATGAAAAGGTGTTGGATAATGAAAAACGACAGCCACAACTATTCCTTGTTTCGTTTTGTATCGGTGTCACTATAGTCTAAATACATATGACCCGGAGAGAGAGAAAGAGAGAGGAAGGTGGATGACAGTTGGAGGCATATATAGTACACTTATTTCTATTAACTAGTTTACATTCCTTAAGAATAAAATACTCTGAACAAAATTGAAGTGTTCTGTAACTTTGTTACTACAATTTACAAACTTAATTTAACTATATTTTTTAATTTTTAGTTATGCATTGATTAATAATAGAACTGCAAAAGTAAAACAGATATCATATTGAGTAAATATGAGTTAAAGAATAAATATGTTTTGATTGAAACTAAATTTGAAATGTCATCTAACACGCTAGCACATATTCTTTTTGACACATATGAACAATTTATATTCGTTTTGGCTTTACTTATACAATTTAAAAGTAATAGTTATGTTATCTAGAACATGGGATGAAAACACGGCCAGTTTTGAAAATCAATATGGTTTCCGCAAATTTTGATAACGAGAGTAATTTCTTTTTTCTTCAATAATTTGATATTTTGACATCAGGTCTGACTTGTATGAAATTCAATGCATGATAATCGGAAGAAACGTTTTAAAATTTAGGCATAAATATGGAAACAACTTATTGGATTTGTATATGATTCAATAATTCTTAGGAGGCAGAAAAAGTGGTGTATTCTAAGTATTTATAGCCATGCTATTTAGGGTGAGCATCGGGATCGGTTACCCAGTATTGTTTGGATCTTTGGAAATGGCTAGGAGTAGAATCCATTTCAAATGAAATTGGAATGGAATGTAAGAAAATATGTGATTTTGAATTGGTATAAGGTCATTTTGAAGTGGATAAAATTTATTTTTTAAACAAAAAATTGAAAATATGCTCATTGGTTGGTGGAGAGAGAGAGAATATGTGTGTATGTGTTCACATGTTATATAGCCCACTGCCAACGTGTTGTTTCAATTGACGTTACCTCCTAAGGAAAGATAAGTATAACCGATGGTACCGCAACTGACCAAAACCAAAAAATTTTTCCACTCTGTCCACTATAAGTGACTTAAAAATTTCTCTTACCCGTGTTAATGTTTCGTAATCCTATAGACAAAATTGCTAAAATGTCCATTTGATATGCATTTTTTTTTGGGGTTTTAGTCCAAACCCCGACTTTTTTGGATTAGTGGTCCTTTTGAGCAAATTCGTTGCGGATTTGGTCCCTCCGTAAACGAAAATGACTGTAATGCCCTTCTGATTTAATTTTTTTATGTTTTTTTCTATTTAATTTAAATTAAAAAAGAAAATAATTAATTAATTTGGGCCCACATCTCTCTCTCTCTCTCTCTCTCTCTCTCTCTCTCTCT